GTGCAAAAAAACACGAAGCGTAGTTTCAAGGCTGCCTGCCGATCGCCTTCAACCATTTACTAAAAACAACCCTGAGTGTATGTTTGGTGTATGGCCATCTAGCATGGTGGCCACATTTCAAACTTGACTCATAGAATTCACCCTGATATTAGTTACCACCCAGTGTCTAATCTAAGTATGTCTGAAAAAAATATGGCACATGAAAAGTCTGTTTCGAGCTAACTAACTACTTTGCCATTCCATATCGTTGTAAGGCGTACAAATGCTGTGAAATATATAATAATACATCCGCGTTAGTTAAAAAAAAGTACAAAGAAATCAAATTTCACTGTAAACGGCTATTTGACATGCTATGCTAGCTGGTGAGCAGGCAATTAAGCAAGCAAGCAGGCAAGCATACAAACAAGTAGACAGACTGGCCAAGAGATTTCGCATGCACAAAAGAATTAAGCATTGACTTTTCCCCTCTCTTCAGGTATTCATCCATTCATTCATTTTGTTGCTATGTCATCAGACAGTATTGATTAAATATTGGTTTTGGAAAACAGCATATTCATACATAATAAAATTGTACAAAAACAATCGAACGCATATATGCTGGCTACACTACCTCACAGTTTTCACCCAAGTAATGTGGATAACATCTAAAGTGAAGCGTTAAGAAAAAGTCAAAAGGATAAATGACAAATATTTACTTATTTCGTTGTGTTATTTTAAGCTTGAACACTAAAAATTTGGTTAGTTATTTTTCAACATATAAATACCTTTCAATTATTGGTTTTGTAGGGATTTTGTTTGACTGGTTGGAGGATTTCTTCATGGAACGACATCAGAGTCCCAAGCACTAGGACAAAACAGCTGTCCACTACTGCCAGGTTTTCCAATCGTTTCGTCTGACTGATGTCAGCTCATGATGAAATCCTCCAACATAAATAAGTCGTAAGTTGATTCTGTTTTCTGACGGAACAGATTTAATTATCACTTTACCTGGTTGTTTTATTTTGCTTTTGCATAATTCTACTTCGAACAGTATTGCTAAAGTCGAAATGGCTTCCAGACTCAAGCTGTTCATTAGGAATCAATGCGAAAAAAGTTTGTCGTCTTGGCGACCAGATCGTTCGATTTTATTTTCGTAGGAGTAACCGCTTCATGAAGTCGATTTAACACGCGCCTCCGAATTCAGTAGTACACAGCATCCCAGGGAAAAGGAAATTTATGACAGTTAGTATTTACAACAAGACAAAGGAATTAAAGGTCAGCGATTCAGTAATCCGTATAATAACTTGTCAGTTTTCCTAACCTACACTCTACAAATCTATTATGACTAATCACCAACATTGTCTCCCATTTTACAATATTTTGCAGTCAATTTCAGTCCAGAGCACGCTTACCACACTCAAATACGACTACTTATTTTTATACCCCATAACTAATCTGTTATTTTACGTAAAGAAATGTCTCCGCCGTATAACTGGCTATTATTGTAACGACAACAAAAGAATATTACATTTTATAATTGTAAGAACCTGGAGAGAGGTTACTCAAAAACATCTGTACCTCCGTCATTAACAAACAATATCTGAAAAAGATTACTCGTAGCTCCGTTTTTTTGCCTAGATTTTTAGATTTATCGCACCAAAAAGAAGCACTGCATCAAACCTGATTTAAAGATCCTGTATAACCAAAGCAGTTTTAGGCCAAAGGTATTGTGTTAGTCCACCTTGTATACTGTCGGGTGGATCCATGTCATTAAAAGTTATCTAACCGCTACTTTTATATTACTCGCTAAAATTGCTGTTTTTCAGTTTAGTTCATAACATTTTTAAAAATCTTCGTTCTAAAGCCTGCCCATAATCATTTGAACCATCGATCAAATCGTCTGCGAAGTGATATACTTTGAATTCAATTTTGATTTTTCTGTTGACTGATGAGACTGAGATGTTCGTCTTCAAACGATATATCATCTCCCTAGTATGGATAATTAACTTAAAGTAGTTTTGGTTGACAGTTACTAGCAGTGGCATCCAGGATGCGCATTTCATCTGTACTAGAAGCCTCTATATCGACAGAGGCCGGATGCTCCGGTACAAGCACTCAACGGGAAAGTCAAAATTGAATTATTAACAAATAATGACTGATACCCGTTGCACGAAAGAGGATCCCTGTGGTCTGGTGAATAACTCTTTAACGTTTGAAACGAAAATGCAGGTATATCCAGATGACGATTCCCAAACAGGGCGAAATGCCTATCCTGGCTTCAACTGTTAGTCAACAGGTCCAGTAAAATTATCACATATTTTTAGTTTTTAGTCTCTCTGGAGTGATTTGGACGAAGCATATTTACTATACAGACCGATTTGTTTTTGAAAGAGATTCATAATGGTACAAGAAAACTATCTGCAAACGAGTATTTGTGTGTCTTACACACGCAACAAATATTGAAATGAAGCTCAAAATTCGCTTTTTTTAAATCTACACCTGAGGAATACTCACGCACAATGATGTCACTTTATTGTTCTAGTGCTTACAGTTTTTAGCTGTCTTCAACTCTTCTTAGTTATGACCAGATATTCGCCTAAGTATCCAATTTACAGGCATAATAGCTATGTACACATTACTACAATAAATAACTCGATTGACCTAAAAGGGTCTGTCATTTTATTTATGAATACATTGTGTATGAAGAAGTATTCAGAGATGCATAACAGATACTTAGAAAAACCGTTCAACACTAATCTTTATTCATGTTTCAGTTTATGATGATATGAGGATTTCTACTTTAGGTATTGGACAACTTTGATCAAATCAGAGTTTTAATTGTAAAGCGTCGACAACGCATTGATTAACTAACTCTCCTGGTCACTGTGATTTCTTACATCAACTTTAAAATTGCTGAAATCGCAGTTATACATTGAGTATACTTTGTGATTGTTAATCCCTCCAGAAACCGACAAGGATGCTACTGTCAGTAACTGCCTTGTTTTACATGCAATCAGCAATGATACTGACTCATAGCAACAATATACACTTCTGTAATAACTGCACTACTGGGTAAATATGCATCGCGTATTCCATTTCAGCTAAAGTATGTAAAGGACATCGACAGCACACTGTCTCTTTGGACACTAGTACATCAAATGCACACATACACATGTCCACAGAGGTATAATATATGCTGGTATTTTTTATTTGTTTGTTAGTTTCCCTTCCTGTTTTGCCTGTTATTGCATCATAAGTGTTTCTCCCACTCTGTGAGTTTCAAAAACTTATTCGTTGTTAGTGGTATGCAGTTTTAGCATTCTAGAACAGAAGGCTGTCGCGGTCCCCACAGAGAAGGGTTTTGAAGATGAATTTGAAACATGCACTGTTATTAATTTGTGGTAAAAAGTGAAAGAAATCCACTGTTTTTGAATGGCAGAATATTGAAAATTTCAGTTCACTACTGAAATATAGTATTTAAAAAAGGAGTAGGTCCCTTATTCTTAATTTAAAACTGAGTTGAAAAGACCCGTGAGTGCTTTTCACCCATCTACAATTTAATTATTTGTTTTCAAATGACTAAATGAAATTCCTAGTTACTTCTTTTAATCGACACAGTCATTATTCTATTCCCTTATCTTCATCGAATCCTATCGGTTGAATTGTCTATGATCTCGCCTTGTAATTGGATGGTCTTGGGTTCGAACCCTGGTGGCAGGGTGCACAGTGAGGAGGAGTCTCACATTAGGAGGAGAAATGCGTCCAGTACTTCCTATTGATTTTCAGTGGTTGTCTAACTGCTGTCAACTTGCAATCAAACCTGAATCCTCCAAAACTCATATTTAGCTTTTCTAATATCAGTAGAGAATTTTCTTTTGATTCAGTACTGGATTTTTGTTTTATGTCCAGTTTGAATGTCAGTCTATGCTTTCCATGTTTGTTGAATACTGCAGACTATAAGTAGAGGTTTATGACCACAAATACAATAGTAGTGTCTATGGTGCTGTGTACTATTGGCGTGAATTTGTAAGCAATGTACAGTGTACAGTCTTCGGGTAATTGGTTGCATGAAAACAGATGAACTACTTATGAAGTTTTTGGAACATAGGATATAGGATAAAGTTGTTGTGAGGAGGGGAAGTTCACAGAGTAAAGTAGGATGCCGAAGAGTTTCACAGCAGGGAGATGAATATACACATTTTAAATAAATTTTCCAAGGTAGGCTTTCCTAATGAAACATAATTTTGATCAGCGATAGTTCGGCTTTCTCTTTGATGTAGACGTAATCGTTTGTGTTACACAGCGAACCTACTACATATATACACAGTAATTTTCTATGAAAATGCATTCAGCTCTCCCTGATATAAATGACAATAAGCATAATATTTGACGGACACGTGTACATGCTAACAGTGTATAGTAAAGTTATCTAAACCCTAGACAACTTATTGAACCGTCGTCTGCAGGAAAGTATGCGCACAAATGCAAGAAAATATATCCGTCAACTTTGATTTCATTTGATAGATGTCATTTCTGATAGGATATTACACACTGTTAAGCATTAGTGGTCTTTTTTTTAATTTTCTGTCAAAGTAAGACCAGTAAACATCCCTGGTAAAGTTAACCGCCAAAAGAAGGCAAACTGTACTTAAAACACATTAAAAGGCATAGTTCTACCAGTCTTGCATTTTTCATACTATTGTCTTTCTTTGTTCTCTGTGTTATACGAAAAGGAAAGTATAGGAAAGCAGTAATAATAATAAGAATAACAATAATAAAAATAGCTGAATGATTTTAGTGCATTTTGTTTGACATTCAAAACGATATAGTCAGCTTTTATGTAGACTGACACAATTGTATGATAGACATTGTTAGTGTTCAGGTGAAGTTGCTTCACAGTAGAATAACAAACAGTTTGATGGTGTTTATTCTTGATGGCATTTAGGTGGTATACAGAAATAATAATAATAATCATAAAAATTGCTAATTTTGCGTAAGATTATTTGACTAGCACTGCTTACCTGCAATACGGTTTCCCATCTATCATGTAACATTGTCCTTGATGACAATAACCAATACAAGGGTGTACTAAAAGCGGAAGGTAAAAAAGAGTGGAAAACAGGAAATAATGAAATGCAAATTCTGTGGTCTTTCTTTCTCTATGCAAAATTTATCAAAGGGAACTAAATGTATGCGGATGAAATGCAGTCATTATGAACATGTAAGCTGTTGTTGTTGTTTTTTTTTCCACTCCTCCCACTATCTATCTGATGCACGTGTACACAAATATTTGTTTTTTTTTTTATTTCTAAATTTTCTTCACACTCGTGTGTTTCAATGTGAAAAATTAACTTGCTTGATAGTGTCAACCTGTATAATAAAGGACTGAATGAAGTACATGTCGGCTAAGTACACGATCATTTCAAATTACATTAAGATAAACTCTGCGATGTAACTGTAATTACTACAAATTACAAGAAATAATCTCTTATAAATTGTTCTGTTGAACATTTCAGTTATTTTGTTTTATTTTCACAGCATTTACTAACTATCAAATAGGTGTTAAACGTTGAATACGCGGTTCCCCCTTATACACGGCTGCATAGCCTTCTAACACTGCATTTTTATGCTATCATCAAATCAAAACCAAAATCAAAGCACTTTATGTGGACTTATTTATTCCAGCTCACAGAAATAAGCGTTTCACGCCTAATCTGAAACTATTTTGTCGATGGAACATAGGGCTTCAAGCTGGAGGCTTGAAGTTTCTATAGCAGTGGTGTTTGATTTTTACGAGATAGGGTGGCTAGCCTCACACCCAATCTTTCTCTTTTGCTAGTCTTATAACTGGCTTAGTGAAGTGAAGTAAGTGTGTCGGCCAAGGATCGAACCCAAAACCATGTGCGTGGTTGACGAGCATTCTACCACTGTGCCACCGACGCACAATTCTGTCGGTACACTTCAATATCTCGGTGAAAAAAAATAGTGGCTATCTTGTTTTACTATAAATAGGAAAATGGAAGCTGTTACAGTTAGTTAGTTTCCTCAGCAGCAACACTGTGGGGAAAAAATATCAAGTGTCAGTGGAAACACTGACGTATTCTTACTGTTTAAAAATAGCCGCTTTTTTAAAGGACCACAGTAGAGAATAAATGAAGAATTATATGACGAGATGCGGCAAAGTTAAACTTTCGACACCACTAACAACCAATCAGCAAACGACCTTGAATGAGCCAATTACATTAAAGAGGCATATATGATGAATGGAAATGTATATTTATAGAAAAAAAGCACAAAATAGAGAATGAAAAAGTTACATGGGATATCTTTCTCGAACATGTGAGAGAAACATCTCCCAGTTTAGCATGGGACTGTCAATGCTTTTCCATCTGCTATCCTTTCGACTAATCCCTTTCGGAGGGAGGTGTCATACAAACCTATTACCCAAATATTGTTCGCTCGCTGGCGACCACGGTTGTATTTCTTTTTTACCAGCACTGTCTCATCGACACGCACGATAACGTCTTCCCCACCTAGCAAACAAGTGATTTTCCCCATTTTCCATGATGCAATGTCTCTGCAATGCTGGTACCACTGAACTGTTGAGACATGGCTATTCTCCATCTCGGCAGCTGCTGCTCTCACAGCCTGTTTCAACACCCATTAGTTGCAGATATACAAAATCTGGGTTAGGGAGAGATGCGACCTAGTGAAAGTAAGTTCCTACGAAGTATTAAAATTATCAGCCTACCCTCTTCAGATGAACAAACCCATCAGTTGATTTGGTATAGCTTTTTAAAGTAATGATACAACCACACAAACAAATTCGCTCTTTCCGGAGCAACTCAAATCCAGGAAATGCTGGAAAACACTAACCTCCTCGAATTGCAACTGTAGCCTTGTAAGGTCACGCATTAGAAATGAATCAAGCGCTATACAACATTGAACTGCGTTCGTGAACCTCATTGGATAATACGACATCGTTCGTGAATCTCATTGGATAATTCCCTGATTGGTAGTTAGTGGTGTCGAAAGTTTAACTTCGCCCGAGATGCGTCAGTGGCATAGGCGTAGAATGCTCGACTACCATGTGGCTCAGAGTTGGATCCTTGGCCAACACACCTACTTCACCTCGCTAAACATACAATAGGACTGGTAAGGAGGGAAGTTTTTGCATGAGGTTAGCCACCCCATCTCGTAAAAATCAAACACCACTGCTACAGAAACTTCAAGCCTGTATCTTGAAGGCCTATGTTCTACTGCGGACGTAGAGGAATAAAAAAATATACGATGAGATAGAATGAAATCCAGATTCACAGTGTGGTGAGAGCTGGCTGTTTGTCAAAATTGGTGGACAGCAATTTACGTCAATATTTATGTCCCCAATATTGGTTGTGAGAAAAATGAGAACAAAGGCTTTGGGTAGGGGGATACAGCTAACATATAGATGATCTGACATTCAAGAAACAGTCACAAAGAGATGCAAGTTTGACTTTCTGTGAGAAACAAACAATCAGAAGACTGTGTTTTTCTGCTAACAATATTCTATAATATGTACATGAAAATCTATAAGTGTGTGTTGATTTCCTTAATAAACGATCTGTTGCCTGGCCCTTGTCTTCTGTTGTTACAACAGGAGATTTATATGATGATGATGCTTAACTACCTGTGAAAATAGATGATAACTCCCAAATTTCGTTTAAAACGATGACTACAATCTACCGTTCTATAAATGGGTGAAGATTTAATCTGCAAGTTATTTACTTATGTGATGCAATAGTAATTTCCAACTACGAAATCGGCATACTCGGTAAATATCTTGTTATCATTTTAACAATTATATAAGCAAGCCGACGTCGTCACGGATCTGCCTTCAAAATAATATCACAGTTGAATTTGTCTGCAGTTTCCAGATGAAGACAATTAAAAGACTCGATCAGAAAATGGCTTATTATTAGCACACTTTAATATTTCATATGGAAAAGTGTACTTTAAACCTTAGAATTATGCCGAACATTAATATCGTCTTCGGTAGTTTTCCATCGGTTTAGCGGCATATTTGAAGCTATATTTTATGACTGTTAGTTTATTGTGAGTACGCATCAAACACCTTTAAACTTATATATATATATATATATATATATGAGAGAGTTTAAAACTTCAATAAAACTGTTTGAGACCATTAAAACAAACAAACAAACACCATTTGCTAGGCAACAGCGGTAGAGTGTCAGACGTAAAATTAGAAAATGACAGTCAGACAAACAAAAATTGTATTATGCATTAAACGTGATGTCTATTCCACACAACTTCCGAAAATTGCAGTTTATTTGTGTTTTATTCTTGGTCAGGTTGTGGTATAAACCAGCCATAAATATGAAATAAATTCAATTAAACGCTAAAAATATCTTTTGTACACTATTTTGAGAAAAAATGCCACATCACATATATATGTATGTGTATATGTATATGCATTTGCAATATATATTTATTTATTCAAACGAATGAACTGCTGTGTTGTTTCATTATCTCTGTAGCATAAACGTTTTCACCATAAACTCTGGTAATGTTATGAGGTTTTGTCGTCCAAAAAGCGAAAAGCGCCTCGGGTCTCTATTCCTTTAAAAATACACAAAGATTAACTGAAGCGTATAACAAACAGCATGTAACAAGAGTCTTTTGCAGTTGGATGGTACGATAACTTACTAAAAGCAAAATTACCATGTGATCAGTTTCTTTTCAACAATATACACACAAAAACTATCTTATCGAAAGGATTTACCATGTGACTGACTATTGACGATGGGACAGGCAAGTCATCAAGGAAATGCAATATCTCTGGGTTTAGGTTCACGTCTTTTAGATTCATCACTCAAGATTCATCAAAGAGTGTTTCTAACAACAAACCATTCATAATGTAGGAAAGGCCTATTGCTAATTCGACTGGACTGTTTTTTTTTATCTAGCTTGGTTGTAGATACTATCCAGTCTTTTCATTAGTTGAACCAATAAATACTGAATCGAGTGGGGATTGACTCACTTGCTTGCCAACAGCCAGTTTAATTAGAATGAACCTATAAACAATTTCCAATTCTGTGTAATTGCAGAAGTACTCGCACTAAGCATGTTTTAAAATTTTTACTTCTTTATGTTCCTGTGGAACAGAGGGTTTCAAGCTAGAAGCTTGAAGTTTCGGTAGCAAGGGTGTTTGATTTTTACAGGATGTGGTGGCTAGCCTCACACCCAATCTTCCCTCTTTACCAGTCTTATGACTGGTTTAGCGAGGTGAAGAAGGTGTGTCGGCCGAAGATTGAACCCCGAACGACCTGCATGTTTGACGAGCATTCTATAGTTGTGCTACTGACACACCTAACACTAAACTGCTATGTAGCAAATGCTACTTTCACTGAAGGAAATAGAGGTGGATTTTACCACTCACACACACACACAGTCAGCTTAGATGTGGACTAACTGCATGCTGTGTACAAAGTGAAGCTTTTGTTTTTACTATCACATTTCCAATTTTTGCCAAAGTGAAAGTGTTAACATGGTTGGTGTACAGAAGTCAACTGTGATGAAGTCACCATTATTTTCAACTAGAAACGCGTAGTTTAATTATCAAAATATCAGCAATCTTTTTTGGTTTGAAATAAATAGTTGGGACAAGATTAAATGGTCGTTAGCTGAAATTATAATACGTCTTTTCATTTATTATGCATAAGATGTACTGTTACAGACCTAACGCCAAACACGTGTATGAGTTCTAATTATGAAGTGTGTTGTACATTTCACTAGTAATCTGAATGATAGCTGACTGAATCTTGTTGTTATTGTCACTTCGGTTAAAAAGTCTTACAAATATGACTTTAGGGGATAAGTGCGAAGGTGGTGGTGGGACTGAAAATAGGTAATGAGTATACAGTGTTAGTATGAAAGTGACTAATTTCCCTTGAGTATAAGCGCATGAAAATAATTTAATTCTATGATAGGATAATAACATATGTAAAATGGACTTATTACGCTTCAATGCCTCAACCCACTATATGGAAAAAATTATCTACCTTGGCGGTAAAACAAGGTGAGACGTA